GCTTTGAGGCAAGGATGGAATCCTTTGATAAAGTAGTGACTACTGATCTTGGAGAAGGCAGCTCCCAGTTAGCAGCATCTAATATGGTGACTATCCTTAGTACGGTGAACGTGGCCAACTTCGTTTCCAGCAAGCTCTCCGGCAAGAACAACTACAAGTTATGGAAACAGCAAATACTCTGCCTCATCGAGGCCAATGACTTGCTCCCGTACATTTACTCGCCTCATCCGGAAGACGGTGATAGGAGAACGGGGAGAGTGGTTTTGGGGTGGATCCTTGGGTCGCTGGCCGATGCGGTTCATAAGAAGGTGGCCCATTTGACTAACGCCAGAAATGTCTGGATGGAGCTCGACAAGAAGCTGAATACTGGTATATAATATATTGATTTATGTTTGTGTTTTGCTCCATTAATTGCTGCATCAGCTAATTAATTATTTTATTCCCTCATTCATATATATATATTGATTAACTTCTTCCTTGATTCATAGTGATTAACTTTATATTGTTTCTATACGTGTTCCCAATAAAGGTCCTGATGTCCCTTTCATCAAATCTTCCCCGACTATCCTCAGTATAGTCAATGTGGCCAACTTCATCTCCACCAAGCTCTCAGGTTCTAACAACTACCCGTCATGGGAAATGCAAATAAGCTGCCTCATCGAGGTAAATAACTTGTACCTGTACATTTCTCCCGATGAGGACCTCCCCAACACAGAAGACGATGATACGCGTTGGAAGGAGAAAGTGGTTTTGGGGTGGATCCTTGGGTCTCTAGACGATGCCGTTCTTAAGACGGTGCTCCATTGTTATACCGCCAAGGATGTGTGGGCGGAGCTCAAAAAGAATTTTGGTCCGGCACCAGGTACGTACAGAGATATATATATATATATATTTGATTGTTTGTGTGTTTGCGCCATTTAATTGCATCAGCTAATTAATTAATTAGTCTCTTCCGTTCCGTCATTCATATTTTCAACCAATAGCGATTATTACGCTTGCCACGGAGACCGAGTGGGACAAGTACTTGCCGCTAGTGATAAACATTCGCAAGGGGGAGTGGGAGAAAGCACAAAAATTCATAGAAGAAAAAATGCAAGACAATATCAGTGCCGCAATAACATCGAGATCAGACACATGTCTCCACTTAGCCATGTCATATGACGTAATACCACTTGTCCAGTTCCTAGTTGGGAGAATGGACTCCTACCAACTCAAGAATAAGAACATCATCGGCAACACCGCTCTCCATACGGCAGCCTGGAGCATTCGATGCTCTCAGACAGCCATCGATATCCTGGTGGATCGAGTACCTTATCTGATGAACTTTCAAAACGAAGAGTTTGAAAACCCGTGCCACCTGGCGGTACGGGCCTTAAAAAAGGATCTCGTTAAGTACTTCCTATCAAAGATGGACAATGAATGGTACTTCGAATGGCCACAAGACACCGGTGCCAAGCTTCTGTGTATGCTGATCGAGGCCGAGTATTATGGTGGGTGGGTCTGTCTATTATTTCCAGTTGATCATATATAAATATTGTCTTAAATTGCTTTGTATTATTATTTCAGATGTGGCTAAAACTGTGACTGACATATGTCCGGATTTCGCTTGTCTTAAACTTCTGGATGGGACGACAGCCTTGCACAAGTTAGTGCTAAAGGACACTGGGAAAGGGCGCTCTAACTTTAGCTTTTGGGAACGCTTCCTTCACTCAAGTACGTGACTATTGAATTCAAAATTAATTAATTCAAAGAATTTCCAGATCATTTATATTTAATCTATCTTCTTAGATTGATAAATCATGATTTACTCATCTATCACGATATAAATTCAATATATTAATATTATAAATCATGATTTGCTCATCTGTCACTATATAACTAGTATTCGATTATGTGCATATGCGCAGATGCAAATCTATATATATATAATTATTAGCTCATGGACTGATTTAACTAATTTTTGGGAGTTTTTGGACCAATTTTGGATCGACCTAAATTAGTGAACTAAAATGGGAAACAACCTAAGTTACTGGACTAAAATTGCAATCTTCTCCTTTATTAATACAAAACAAATTAAGGTGTCAATTGATTACTTAATCTCGTTTTTATTTTTTCGAATCAAGGATATTACATTAAAATATATGCAATAGTTTTGTTGGACAATTATGTGAATTTATATATAAAAAAAATATTTGTTATGGAGTAATTTATACAACACATATAGTTAATCAATGCTTATTTTTTATTTATTTAATATATTATGTATTGATTAATTATATATGTTTTTTATTACGATCCGTGTGCACATTATTCATGGGATGAGATAAATGAAGATTTTTTTTTTATTTGTCATTTTATTGAGTTTGTATTTTGTTGGAATGTAATATTAA